TTCTGATCGGCAGCTCCGTATCACATGACAACCGATGCGGTGGTTACTGTTTTGAGGTATCCGGTTTGCAGTCTACTCCCTGGTGTAGCCGACATTACCGGACGACAACGAAGACCCATATTACTACTCTAGTCGTTTCGGGATCTGCCGTCCTTTTTGTCTCACCTTTGTGTTGAAAGAAATTCAGCAATGGTCCGGGCGCCTAGTAATTGCTGAGCCTTGACGGCAAACTCCTTGAGTAATTTTAGTCGCGCCCCGGTTCGTGATATCCAATTGATGATATCATTACACCGGCTATGTTCATTATGTGTTCAGCTCCCAACTGTAGCTTTTGGAGGCCCCCCTTAGAAAAATCCGATTCTCGGTCGCGCTTGAGAGAGCTCCGCATTTGATGACGAGGTTAGGTTACTAAACGCCCACACTTGGCTATCGGTCTCGTGTTCCTCAGATCAAGATTGAAAGTTTCGTTTAACAAATCTCGCCTTTCCACTGATTTGTTTGGTTGATGAGAACTGGCTTCGTGTAGGTTCTGTCTTCCAGCGGTAATCTAAATAGATCCGTGTTTTCCAACCGTTCTCGTAGAAGTGTCGCGCAGACCGCGAACTAGTTACGAGATCTCACTTCTTGGTTCATGTTACGGTGTATATGATGTGCTTTCAGGATACTGATACTCTATCTCTACTCGGCGAAGATATTTCTTATTGCAAATTTTATTTGAAAGCGCCTTTTGCTGTAAAGTTGCTTCGCCGTAGACACGTTACTTGGTGTGTATTACATCAAGCGCCGAAGTACACTTGGATGATCTGCTCGGACATAAATCCTAATGTTTGTGCCATGCGCAGTAAGTCACCTACTACTACTACTAATACTATCAGTGTCTGGCGGACTCCGACGCTTTTTGAGCCAACTGTTGCGTACAGTTGTAACCTTACCTCTTATGATGATAATCTAGACATTTCTTGGCTCTGGATCACTTAAATTTGATGATGTCTCGATTTGTATTAACGAACAGGCAGGAAATAAGTGTTGGCATTTCTTTTGTTGAATGTAAAAACCACAATAGCTCTTGACATGAGACGTCGGTACTTGAGAGTGTCAGCTCAGCTTGGTTATCTGTTTCAGGCTACTAGTGAATGCGTTGTATGTAGCGTGTCAGTTGTCACTCAATGCATAAGTTTTTTTCAGAACATGTAACTGGCTTTTTCAGACCATATTTCATGCATTTATGCAAGTAGATTCCAAAGTGCCTCCGAGATGTCACCCATGGATCGTTATTTATGACCTCATCCGTTCCTTTGTACTGAAAAGGCCTCGATTTATCTGACGGCAGTCTGCGTTGAACTTATTAGCCTCATTAACGGCCGTCTATGCATGAGTTGTCATTTGCAAAAGGAGTCTTGCTATCTTCATTGCGAGCTTATTGCAACGACTTCACAATTGAATGGATCTACGGATGTCACTCAGTTGTTTGCATATTTTTTGGTTGAAGAACCAAGACGCCACTCATAGTACACCTTCAGTTGCTGTCGTTCGACTGCCCTTTTCGTTCAAAAAGGTGACGAGTCGGATGCGATGCCAAGGTGAAAATCGAAATTTAAGTCAACCAAATCAGGTTAGATGTGCCAGCGGCACTTCGAGATACCGTATCGCTAACTGTCGATTAGATCGATCGAGAGGCTTAAGCCCCTTAGGGCCTATACGACTGAGTTACCTGGTCAGGGTTTTCAAATGGTCATTATTTCCGTACCCTTGTATTTCACTCTCCATATCCATCGGGAAACATCACACTGAAAAGATCCCATTCGGTGACATGGCTGTTCTCTGCTCGTGCTCATTCCTGGTTTTTGTTCAAGGTTGCCATATTCTCAAACAGTTTCGACACGCTTCCGCAATTTTAGGACGTTAGCTGTTTGAAAAGTTCACTTCGAACGCGCAACGCTGACGGTCGTTGGTACAGCAGCGAAATGGTAGCCCTCGTTCGGTGCGATGTGATCATTCTCAGAGCGACTTGGGGAAAGTATTGTGTATGGGAATACATGCAGATGAAGTGGAATAGATTCAGTTTGCATAGATTTCTCAGTGAAACAACCTCGGCATTTATCCGGTTGACATGTTTAACTGTGGACTGGGTTTTCTATCAAATGCCCTGCTCTCCTGCGAGGATAGTGGCGTCGATATGCCTCCAATTGGCAGGCTGTCTGGACTGCAATACTAAGCAGTGATCTAAGTAAGTTGCAAGCTATTTCGGAACGTTCGGATGCCAATGTAGCTATGTTCGGCATACTGTAGGCACGTTCGAAGTGCAACATATTGCTGCTGGAGTGGGTTGGTCTGACTCCCAGATTCACTATACTAAGGAACTGACAGAGCGCTCACAACTTGTACCACTTATTTACATATTTAATCACGGAAAAATCACAGATGGATCGTCCGGGCGCCTGCATAAGATCCATTTGGTATTCTTCAACTTAACATACCTGGCGGTA